GGCTCCAGCTCCTTCTTCTCCTCCTCCGAGGTGTCGGCCACCGACGCGTTCTCCTCGTCCTCCTTCTCCTCCCGCTTGATCTCGCCGGCGCCTGAGCGCCCGAGCCCTGCGACAGGCCGGGCGTTAGGGGTGGCCGCGCCTCCGTTGGCGGGAGGGGCAGGGGCCGCTCGCGAAGGAGAGAGGCCCACACCCAGAGCTGCGGCCTAACCCAGAACCCCCGATCGCCAGGACACTGCTGAGACCAGACGACAGGCGGCACTAGAAACCGAGCGCGGCTGGGTCCCCACAGCACATCAAGAACCCTGACAAGTCACTCAGGAAAGGGCAGATGGCCCACAGGGGAACAGGCGGCACCGAGCATCCGCGTCTTGGGCCCGCACGGGCGCACGGAGCTGCAGGAGCGCGTCCCCAAGTTAGGGATGTGCGGACGTGGACCAACGGGAGTCCTTCCCAGCCGCCAAGCCGGCGTTCGAGAGGCCTAGTGTCCTCCGTGCTGCGTGCGTCGCCAAGGGGGGACGCAGCGCCAGTGGCGGGCTGGCACCGCACTGGGAAACGGCCGGGCATGATCTGGGACCCATGGGCACTGAGCGGGCCGGACAGTCCACAACTTGGAGCCACAGCAGAGCAACCCCAAACGTGCGCACCAGGTGACAGGTTCCATAACATTCCGCAAAGCACCCGAGGAAAGCAGAGTGGGAAGCAACCTAACGTCCCAGGTCAGGCCTGGGACCGTCCTCAGTCACCTGCAGTGCAGAGGACCTCACACCTAACGTGAACAAGCAGAAAGGCACAGATAAACGTCGGCAGCAGTCAACAAAATCCAAAAACGACATAAATAAACCACGGCTGCAGAAGTCACGGCTGCGCCGAATCACCACACGGAGTTGGCAAACGCCCCCCAGAAACAGCCCAGGGCTCGTCGGTGGGGACAGCACGGGCAGGATGTGAGAGGGGGGAGGGGCTGTGGACATCCCACCAGGTCTGGGGGGGTGCGTCCTGGGCAGCAGGGCGGGGCTGAACAGCATCCCTGGCCCCGCCCCTTCAACACAACCACAGAGGTCCGGAGATGCGGCCTGGTGCCACCTGGCTGAGATTGAGTATGGAGTGATAAAGTTAAAAAACACAAAAGTACTGACTTTCTTCTAAAAGTCAAGCTGGCTTTGGGGATGCAGGATGGGAGGGTCCCTAGGCAACCATGAGAGCGC